CAGCCATCTTTTGTTAAAGTAATTTGGTCGTGATCTAATTAAGAACGACACGGCAACGCAGGTTGAATGTGCCTATTCCTTTGGCAACATTTCGGGGTTTGCATTTTCGGCATATTCTGTCTTCACACAATATCTAATTCAGACTTTTAACGAGATTGCCCCTTGATTTTTATTTAATAAGCAGTTAATAACCAGTCTACCTATCAGATATTTCTTTACCTGATGGTGAAACACCTTATCATGCTTACAAATGCGCCAAAAACACCAGACTTACTATCAGCCATGCTGTTCCTTAAAGTCATTTTCTCTACACCAGACACAAGTCCTCATTATGTCTTCTTGTCTAGGAGACAAAAATTATCCCAACTAAGTTCCCGCATACTTTATTCCCTAGACATGCGCGTGGAAATGCAAATTAATTGTCTAATTAACATATTTTGCGAACAAGGCTGTTATTTCCTACTTATCAGTCAATGCTGGCCAGTTATGCGTGATCGTACAATGATACGAGAATGAATATGAAATAAACAGTCTTTATACTGTAAGTAGATGCGATTAAGAAGACTAATTGGCGAATATACGTTTGCTTTCGATAAACTCCTGTCCGGACAGTACATTTAGATGGGAGCCGGGGGAAACAGAACATGTCAGTAATTAAGTAAATCGATTAAAGTTCATTTTAAAGCCTATGCGTGGTGTAGGAATATTGGGGAGGAGGAGTAATAACGGTCGACGTCCGAATGTCTGGAAAAAGGCACAATCAGGGGCATTAACAGCGCCATTATCGCATATTTTATTTCAGGGCATTTTGCAGACCCCAGCGAAGCTTTTCGTGTGACCTATAGGGTGTCCCATCCAGCCACCCTAATCTACTGGTCCAATGTGTGTTAGCAACAACAGAAGCAGCCGCTATCAGGTTACGAAACCCGGCCTTTTGCGCTCAGAAGAACCTCGTTCGCTCAAAGGTCGATCAATTGCATGCGACTCGCCGCGCTCATCCGCTCTCACCCCCTGACACTGACGCATATTACCCCCTCCCCATACTCCAAAATCCTTCCTATGTTTTAAGACGAATTATGATCGGATTCTTTAATCACTGACATGTTTTACTCGACCCTGTTCCATTATAAATGCACTGCACTGACAAAAGTGTACCAGAAGCAAACTTATGCTCGCCAACTAGTCTTCTGAATGCTGTCATAGGAATTTTCACAACTCTAAAATACGATTCAGGGGGTTTTGGTGGATTTCTTTTTGTGGTTTCATTTAATCGAGGTTTTCATACGCATTGGCTTTTTATGCACAAGTAGACAGAATTCCTAATGCCAGAAGCGCAAAGCATTGTGATCACCATTCATCCACTAATTGGCTTAGTGATATGCATTTTAGAACATTCGGAAATTCATTAATCAGTCAGTTGTTTCTATATATGCATAAACGTTTACCCTGTTAGAAGCGTTAAGTCAAGCAAACGCACATTTAAAAAGTTCGAAAAAATCAAAATCTCTCTTAAAATTACGTTGTCAAACGTCGCCTTCTATGCAATGATCGAAAACACAAACTGCACGTTGTGTGGCCGGAAGTAGATGAAGGCAGTTTGCGCGGGGCGAAAGGCAAATGACAATGAAAAACGACCAGAAAGACGTCCGTCTGACTATCGACGGATGTGTGCATCAAGTTCAGCATTTATTTTCTTACCGTTGGTATACCAATATTAGGAACAATGCTCCAAGTTCTTTTGATTATTCATTTGGATGGATATGGATTCCCTCGAACTTTAATTTATCTAAGCAATTTGGACCCCAGTAACTGTAGAGGTTCTTCTTTTTTAATAATACATTTTTATGTAAGTTGTCTGACTTTTAAAATGTCTCCAGTGACGAAATAATCCTATCAGGTTCCGTGCAAAAATTTAATGCAAAACCTTTTTCTGCTTGGCCAGTCTTATGAATTGAATTATTAATAAAAGCATACCTAACTGCTCGGCAGTCTTTATGAGTAGTTATGTAGTTAGCATTTTATTCGTTGGTTTGTTTTCGCTCGGAAATAAATTAGTTCCTTTTTTCAAAGTCGCGAACTGTCCAGCCGGAGGAATTAGGCAATTAATATGCTAGCATAGGTTTGCCCTCGATAAATTCTCAATAGACTATTACACTCATACGATATGTGGGTCACGCAAAACTATGAGTGATAAGAGCGTTATAAGTTATTACTCCCATGACATATGCTTTACCTGATCCTGTCATAAATACACTGTCTTACTGCGAATTCATCGGAAGTAAACGCATTCGGTTCAGCTATTTTCCCAAATCATTCCTTCTGCTTTGTTTAGACAATTTCCATTCTCCTATATATTAGAAACCCACCGAGTTTTAATAGGAATTTAAGTCAATTTTGCGTAGTTAGTATTGTCTCAGGAACCACATTAGTCTAGGAGAAATCAAAAGTTATCTGATCACGATATACTTTTACTCTTAATTTGCAACGCTGAGTATATTTAATTCCTTTTCATCCATGGATCAGTTTATGTTTGTTAGATTGTTTACCGATCTATTTTACTATATATCTAGTGACTAAGCCATAAAAATTAAAACTTATAAATTATTGTGAAATAAGCCAATGGTTTTAACCTGTTTTATGAGAGAGAGATAGAATTGAAAATAGTTGATATGAGAAGAAGTTAAAGAAGGTTATTCAATTTTCCTTCTTACTGGAGAGCTGTTTCGCCGTTGCTACTTAGGATAGTATTCTGCTTTACTCCGTTGATAATAACTTGAAGAATTTCTGGCAACAAAGTAAGATTTTTCAGTCCTTTATAACAAAATGTATGTCCCTGGCTTAATTCCTCTTTTGAAGTCCTCTGCCTGAGATCATATTACAAACTAAAGCGTTTTCAATCGTCTCTGAAAAAATTAGTTAATACGCTTTTATAAACGCAATATTTCGCAAATAAAATTGCCTGGCCATATTTTGCTGTGGGCTGTTCCGAATAAATTTAAACGCTGACATTCCTTTCACTGGCACAGAAGTCTTTTGTTATCAGGCTATCTGGCAAGTTCAAACTATTGTCAATACACGGATTTAAGGCTGCTTGCTTCAATGTACAGCTCAGGATTTTCAAAATTTGCCCTTAACCCAAATTGTCATGTATGGATTTTGTCTTACCAAAGGTTTGATGCTAAAATATCAAATGAATGAGATGCAACTTGGAAGGTTAAGCTTACATACTAGAAATCAGATCGTTTGCTTTTGCCTTTGTATATCTACACATACATGACTGAGCACAAGTTTGCAGAAGATAAAGGCAACACTTAAATTGGCGTTCGCAACGTTTGTCAAATTTTAAACAGTGAATACAAACTTACATAGACATTGGTAGCTTTGTGCACAGCCAATAACACTCAGTGGTCTGTTCTGGTAGCCTGAACAGTTTTGAGGTGAGGACAATAAAACAGATGTAGATGAGAGGGAAAAGACCTTTAGTCAGACACAAAGTCCGACTAGCACGTGCAAACTGGGATGGCAATTACGTTTCCTTCTAATTTAACGCGCAACATCAGCGAAGGCAAATGGTGCTTGACTTATTGATAAATAAGCCCGGATCTCCAGGCAGTAACATTTATTTTTACAGCTAAATCATCAGCTGGGTCTATTCTGCTGGTCGCCGCGAGGCTGCCTACAAAGGTCTAAAACCCAGGTCCGATTTTCATCCCGCCTGCTTGTTAGGCTGGTGGGCTTCACCCTCAAGTAATTGCACTTTTTATTCATCCCAGCAGACAGAGCATAGACTGGGTAGTTCGAAAAGTACGTAGATTTGATCTTAATGCGACGTGACACATTGGATCGAAGTCTAAACCGCTACTGCAGCGACGTCTGTGGTGATTAGAGCAAAATTGCTCTCTTTACTGTCCCATATTTTTTCATTGATACAGACTGATGGCCGTCATTTTGCGACATGCGATTATCGGAGGACGATCGGCGACTTATGTCCATCTAGATATTATCGAAATGCGTGCATTATTTTAAAAGGACGTTTGTTTTCTACAGTAGAGAATAATCGTATTCTTATCTTAGGGGTTATAAGCAAAGATATTAGTGGTTTGTTGGTGTAACTTATAAAGAAACGGAGGGCTATGATCTAAAACAGCATTATTTTTATTTTACTTTGCAAAGTTGTTCCTGTTCCTATACCATCAGACAGAGTATTGTTTTAATTCTTTAAAGCTAACAATATCATTCGTAGTAGAATGAGCTCTGTATTGTAAAGTTCCCGTTTTCTCAAGTGTTTTGGCCCTATAAAAGAGTTTTGTCAAAATACGCCTAAACAGGTGAAGTATCTAAATCGGTAATTATCCCAAAAGCGCTCTTTAACTTCCCAATCAAAGGCAATCCCTCCTACCCAATTGGGTCACATCAGAGCGCCAATTGGATTATGTTTTATTTAACAACGTTTCGTGATTGGTACACAGCAAAAATAGTTGTCCGGATCTTGTTATAGCAAATTCCCAAACTAGGTCATGCGATATTTTTCAATCGGAGGAAACGGAATGCTGAAAAATGCCTTCTGTTTCGGAAAAGGGGAAAACATTTCAGCAGCTACTGCGTTGGGAAATGTTGTTGAATACCTTCGTAATTGCCTACAAAATGCAGAGGACAAAGAAATGTTTGCCATTTTAGAGAACGAACTAAGCAATCTGGAACAGATGAACAAACTGGAAACACATGAACTAGTTCTCCTCCTTGTTTTTAATGCACTGATGATCGTTTTTGGAGCTTTTGGCGCCTCCTGTGTCATTGCAGTTGAGTTCCGCAAACGTCGGATGAGGACAGCCCAGAATTTGTTCACCCTCAATCTTGCTGTCAGTGATCTCACACTTTGTTTATTCACTCAACCTTTTAACTTGCTTCGCACACTGCATTGGCATTATGAATGGAACTTCGGAGAATTCATGTGCAAATTTACCGCATTTGCACAAGCGACAAACGTGTTCGTTGCAACAATGAGCATAACGGCTATCGCCGTAGATAGATTTAGGGTAAGACATTGAAACAAAAAAAGTTATTCCGTTTTTTGTGTTGGCGTATATTTCAGAGTTCTGTGCATTACGAAGTTCCTCTTCTGCAATTTCTTCGAATTTCTGCCGTAAAGTCGTTTATAAGTAAATAGTAAACCGTAATTACTGCGAAAATGACTGTGTTCGGGAGCATAAGCCAAATATTATCACTTCTAGAGCCAAGACTATATAAGATTATATTAGCTGCCATCTATTTGACTAGAATATTTCATTGTTTGAATGCAACAACAACGTCAAGAACGATATGGACTTGATTTAGCCGAAATGTACTCCGTAAATATCATATAAATCACAGGCTTATGCTTGAATTTTAAAAAAATCTTGATATGCAATCTGTATCTAAGTTAGCTCTTAGTCTAAAAAATTATCTAGTCACCAAATCTGTCCGTTAGAGAACCCATCATGGATTCGTTGGTGCGCTCTAATTGTCCGAGGAATTATCTGACGTCTGCTATTAGGTATGGAGAATAAAACATTTCTTGAAGCCGCTGGTTTAACTCCAAGTTGCCGTCCAGCAGATAAAATCTGAGAGCACATGCGTTTGGACTATAACCTTAATGTACAGGAATGCAATGAGAGTCGTATTTTAGGAAATGTACCAGGAGTCTGGCGTCTTAATAATTTTAATAAACACATAATTTGATCAGCGTTTTCTACTACCTAGGTTCCTGGTATGAAGGTAAACATGTGGCATGAACTATACCGGTGGTACTCCGGTCAGTATTCGAAATGCTTGTGGTTGCAAGTAATACACTTCGATGGAATTTTCTCCCGTGCAGTGAGAGTTTCGAAAAGTCAGAGAACATATTTACACTCTCAACGTACTTTACATTTCAGTCCTGTAATTAAGTCACCATATATTTTGTAAAAACGTGGGAACATAAAGTAGCATTTTGAGTACTTATATTGCCCGTTCGTTTGAGAGTGCGTATTTAAACAAGAAAAGTCCTTATGAGTAGTTTTTATCATTTTATAACCGATAATAAAAAAAATGTTTGCAAGTGCTTTCTCCTCACCGCGACTTGTGAACTATATTGCTTTGTTTCGGAAACCTCTTTCTTAGCTGCATTTTAAGACTTTCCAGCTTAATCAAGCACTTTCAAGTTGTTCATGTGCTGCATGCATTTCCAATAATTGTCCGTCTTGGGCCTTAGAATTTTCACCCACATTGTAGAACAATATGCTTTGACACTGAAAATCTGATTTTGCTTCATTTATATTACTAAATTCTGTTCAGAAATTTTGATACTTAATTGGTTTCGCTTTGTTTTTTCACCTAACACCTATATGAATTTAACGAAAATTTGCAAATTCTGGACGGGAATTTAATACTTTCGGCGTTGCCGTGGAAAATAAAAGAATATAAAAATAACATATGAAACGTTTGTTTAATGTTGCCGCATTTAAGGGGAAATAGTTTCGGGCATTTTAAAGTGTCATAGAGCCAAAAATCAATGACATTTATTTAAACGAAGTAGGTTTTACAGGACGCATTGCATCATCGGAAAGTACTTTAATTAGGTTGTTTTACTTTAAAGGGTGGAAGCGAAAGCATTTATGTGTCATTTAAGAACTAAAAGGAATTTCCTGCGTCGGTTCCATTCAACATGGACCAAGACTTGATTCTATTTTAAATCCCAAAGCCGAGTGGCCGCTAGCTTAATCTTCAAATTTGTCATAAATGTACGCAATCAAACTTGCCTTTGTCTTTTATAAGACATGTATTGACACCATAATAAACAAGCATTCATTTTCAGGCAAGGTGGGAGACTGACCAATTATTAGGCCTTTCAATCACACTGCGTGACCAATCTCAAGAAGTTTTGGCTGAAATTCTGAAATGCGTTTTCGATAAGAGAGGATTACTTAGGCGCGGTTCTTATATTGATTATCTTGAGACATAGTCCTATAACATTCCGGTCCTGGCAGGATGTTAGCTTTTAAATACGGTCTTGTTCAATTTCCTATAGGAGCCGTACAGGGAAAAAAAGACTACTTAAGTGGGATGCATTTCTCGCATTGATTTTCGATGGTCTTGCAAATTCAAATATATTTTACAGAAACTAGGAACAAATATACGTTTTTTCAGTCGTTTAATAGAGAACCATGTAGTCTTTATAGATTACACTGGAAAAAGGGGTATAAATTGGTTTTAAAAAGTTTTTGATTTGTTGAATACTTTGAAGTCTGCTCAGTCGTTGCACTAGTGTGTAGTGATTTCAGTTTACAAGATGCATGCGTTCTGCGTAAAACATCACATATTCTTCTATGCCTTTAAAAAGGTATCATGCAGAGTTCATAAAAATTTGCAAAGTATGCGGACTATATTGTACATTTCATGAGGATCAATGGTAAACGGACAGGTACGATGCTTTATGAATGAACATTGCGCACTTTTAAAAAATCTCATGATTAGAAACTCTTTTAAAACCCCTTTTTCGAGTGTAATCTATAAAGACTACATGGTTCTCTATCAAACGACTGAAAAAACGTATTTTTCTTCGTAGTTTCTGTAAAATACATGTGCATTTGCAAGACCATCGAAAATCAATGGGAGAAATGCATCCCACTTAAGTAGTCATTTTTTTCGTGTACGGCTCCTATAGAAAATTGAAGAGCAGTTTATTTAAAAGCTGACATCCTTCTAAGACAGAATTGTTATAGGACTATGTCTCAAGGTTATCAATATAAGAACCGCGCCTAAGTAATCCTCTCTTATAAAAAACGCATTTCAGTATTTCAGCCAACATTTCATGACATCTGTCACTCAAAGTATATTTGCAAGATGATCAAACAGAAGGTATAGCTTGTCCAACAAAACAAGCAACTACGCAAGCGTTAGCGTGACCTTCTTTTTATTGGTCAAACACAACAAATAATTCTAACATAAAAAGATGTGGGGACGTAGAACAGGAAGTTTCCTGATAGTTGAAGGTAACAGGGAAAAAACCATGGAAAAGCCCCATAGTAACAGACAATTGACCATTTTGCCGACATTCTGAAGGCCTTTACTTCATAAAGTATTTGAAAAATACAATATGCTTTCATAAATACCAAAATATGATTGCGCCTAAAAATATCCACTTATTTTGCGTTTTGAGTTTATTTTGGAGTGTGCCACAAGAAAACAGAAGCCTGCCAACGTTGTCTATTTATGCCCATTAGTCAAATTAGGTAATTTTTTTAGTCAATTGTCTGCTTATTTACCTACTTAATGACATGCGCAGGCACCTCCGCGAAACGCTGTTCTTGGTACCGTTGAGTTTTTTGCATTAGCATTGGTTCCTTTCTGCGCATTTAGGAATGACTATAGGAGTGAATGTCCGTACCGCTGACTGGCCACGTTGTTGGCATTTTGCTATCCTCTGATTCTTCATCAGTTAAGGATGCGTAATCTGACACTTGAACACATAGTCACTATACAACTGGTGTGTTGTTATGAAAGGACTTTCTATTCAGCCTCGTTTTGAATAGATTTTTTGGCGGGAATTACATAGAGCGTACAGTCAGTGATCGATCTCATAAAATGCTAGTCGTTTTCAATAGGAGAGGGGTACTTATGTGGGGTTGTAATATTGATTATCATTTGGCGAAATCCCATAATACTTCTGACTTGACATGATGTCGGCCTTTGAACGCATTTCTGTTTGGCCACTTGTAAAAATCCCACTCTGTAAAAATGGCTACTAAATTAGTATGAACTTTTCACATTGGTTTCGATGATCTTATAGATCAAAACATCTTATATAGCTAACATACACAAAAATATTCTCTATTGCACTCATTTGGTGGCTAGTTATGCCACTTTTTGAAAATTTTCATACTCGAGGAAAGACAACCTTTCGGCTGTAAAAAGTTTCTTATTATGAAATTTTTTAAGAAAATGCAATGGCCATTCATACAACATCATACCTTTTGTCTATAAATGCTCAGCACGAAGTATACAGCATAGTCCACATCCATTGTTAAATGTTATGAGCTCTACGTGGGATCTCCTTAAAGGGATTGGGGAAGCACGATTTTCACTTATGCGGAAAGTATACAGCTTAGAGACTGAGAATGCTAAACGTGAATACAACGGCAGATTAGATTCAAAATTACTCGCGTACAGAAAACCGTTCTTAGAACCGAAAACGTGCTCTTTCTGAGGGTATAAAATTGAAAAAGAGGCGTAAATTGTTGTCAAGCAAATGCAACAAGAATAGTTTGTACACGTTTTCTAAACAATAAATTTGGATCTGTGGGGGCATCAAAAATCGTTGTGAAAAATTCTGCTACTTTAGTAACCATTTTTACAGAGCACAATTTTTACAAGCGGCCGCAAAGAATTGCGTTAAAAAGCCGACATCTTGTTGAATCCCAAATGCGATGGGAGTTTGCGCATGATAATTCCGGATTCTCATTCGAACCTATCATCAGAGGCAGACCCAGATAAGGGTGATGGGGATACAAGGAGCGCTGTATTTGCAGGACGCAGTTGTCAAGCAACCACACGCCTACTAGGACTAGTCGCCAGTAAAGGCTGCAATTGATGCGATGATTGTTTGTTACTCTGCACCCGAGTCGCTGACTGCCAAAATTCGGTCACCGTTATGGTTTTTTGGGATTATAATAACTCACCAATTTGGCTCATTAGCAGCGAACTGTCGTTCACTTGTGCCTTCCCGCATGACTAACTATTCTACCCATACAAAGTTGCTGGGCATGCTGATTGACTGAGGGACGGAGAACCATGAATCAAACAGTTGTCACCTCCTGCGAAGATTTCGGTCTCATCAAACTTGAAAGACTGGTCAGGTCCTCTCAACTAAACAGCGGCTTGAGAACTAACGCCATTCCTTCTTGTTGTTACTTCATTTGCACCACCAGCAGCACCTAAGCGTCTCCGATTTACTTGTTTTGTCTGCAACCGCATCAGGTCAGATAAACGATCCCAGGCGTTTCCTGCCACGGCATTGGACCTTTTAGCCCCATGCGTTGGCGCCTGAAAGTTGTCCCTGGTCTCTGTGTAATTCCAACTCCAAGTGGTGTGGGCACGCGGCTGACGACTCCCGCGGCGCGCTTTACGTACATGACGCATTCTAGTAAACCAGAAGACAAGGTTTCTAAATTACAATAGGTGGAATAACTCATGAAATGTCAACCGAAATTCCTGGGTGCTTTTCCGCTTCGAAATGATTAACTAAGTAGGGTTGTAAATCCAATCATCTTGCAGCATAGTTCTATAATAATTCAGTTACCTCAAAATGCCGACTTTCGAACGAACTTATTTTCGCCTGCATGCAAAAACTATGCTCTGCAAAATATGACGGCTTATGTAGCATGTATTTTTCGAATTGAATTTTGTTGGGTCTAAACATTCAGTTATATTTCATGGAAAACTTGCATGAATATGTTCATTTTTTATTTATTCGACAAAAAATTATGTCTTCTTTAAATTTCATACTAAAAGGAAGAGTATAGTTCGGTTTTCAAAAACCTGTCACGTTCCCGAATAATTTCGAACCTGACCTGCCTTTACACTTGCATTATGGTTTCCAAACTACAGGTCCTATACTTTCCCCGTACGGTGAACCATACATTTTCTACGGTATTAAGAACAGATCATATTTGGTTCATAAAACTTAGCAGTGGATTTGAGCCATATTGTAAACTTTACAAGCCAAACTGGCAAATGCAGAGACACGACGTTTTATAAACGACCATCTCGCGCTTTCAAAAATTCTCACAATTTGAAACTTTTCTAAAGCCGAATTTTACAATTCCTTCGCGTATAAAATCGGAAAAAGACCTAATTTTCTACCGAATGAATAAAAGAATGGACATTTATATGTATGGTTTCCATGAAATATAACTGAATGTTTAGACCCATAAAAAGTCAATTAGAAAAATACATGCTACATAAGCCGTCATATTTTGTAGAGCATCGTTTTTTCATGCAGTCGAAAAGACGTTCGTTCGAAAGACTACATTCTGAGGTGACTGAATTATTATAGAACTCTGCTGCATGATGAATAGTTTCACAGCCTTACTAAAATAATCTTTTTGAAAAGAAAATGCATTTTGGAATTTCGGTTGACATTTAAGGAGTTAGCCAACCTATTGTACAGTATCTTTGCCTGATACTTAAAGTAAATGCTTACTCGCGCAACTTCGCGAAGCGGTGCATGTGCAGACAGGATGGGAAACCCAAATAGACAGACACGAACTTTTGACAAGCGCTTACGTACATGAAGAATATTTTACAAGCCGTCATCAGCCTTACCTTTACCTGTCTTTAATGATGAGTTAGAGTGGAGACTCAAAACTTCAGGCCAATAAATCTATTGTTACAGCGATAGCATATCCTCCCTTTGGACTGTTTTCTAGAAGTAGCCTCGTGACTACTGTCGACAATCTGAAAAATGCAATTTATAATCCCTGAGAACAATGTCAACTGCATGTTAAATTTTAAGAAATACAAAAAACGCAAAGATTTAAGATCTAAGGATACTCGTGGGTTGACTAGATATTCTGGTCAAATGCCAAATTCCTATGATCCTCTTGCCATGCAGGAGGTCTTCGTATCGATGTAGGCAATTCGAGCAGTGGTCTAAAAAGGACGTTCCTTACATCCATCGTCTTAGATCTCAATTTTCGTTTTGTAGTTTAACTGCATAACACGTTCCTTAGCCAAATGTAAATAATAAGACCTACTAGATTTTGAAAGGTCATGGTATCATTTATACCTCACAACTTAAATTTGCAAAGTTAAATGCCATACTTGACAAGTTTTATTGTAAGTTTCTCTTAGATTTGCGCGCTCAGGAGAACTGTTTTGATATTTACATTCAAGTATTTGCGTTTAAGAAATAAAAGATCGGGGCTACATGCACTGCCTCTATTCTATACTAAAATCAATGTGGAGTTTTTCAAGTATGTCATATAAAAAAGTGTATATTTTTCACCTGTTCTATTTGGCACCGTATGTTGTTTTCGTTTTTCATAATGGTAAAGAAGGTACCCTTCAGTTCACTATTTTCTGATAGATTTTGGATGATCCAAGCATTTCAGAATTCAAGCATTTATCGTAAATACTTAACCCACAGTTCTTATGTCCCTTGGGGCTAGTTGGACAAACACTAAACTATGTTGCAAAGCATTCTCAAAGGACTAAGGCCCAGTCATTAACGAGGGTCGCAGACTGATGCTTTAAGGTGGTTACTTTTTATTTTCCAGGTGATTGTGCATCCGTTACGATCTGAACGGCCTTGGCACAGGCCGGCGTTTGTTCTTCCATTAATCTGGTTGATCGCCTTCATAATGGCCAGTCCTATGCTGGCGTTTTCCTCTGTCACCACGAGTTTTTCAATAAAGCAGCGGAAGTTGTGCGCCGAGAGTTCCGGCTCCCTTCCTCAGCTGCAGCACATTAAGTACGCCTACGGAATCTTCACCATTATCATGCAATACGTTGTGCCTTTCGTGATCCTGTCCTGCGTCTACATCCGAATATGCACGCGCATCAAAAAGGTGACAAAAACCAGGGTTAAACTGTTGGGATCTACACAACCACAACCCTTGCAGACACCGACCACTGCAACACGACTCTCTAGCCTACCGATTGAGGATCCTGCTATGCCTTGCGACAGTGTTCAGAAAGGTGCCAATGGTGTGAAAGGGACGCGGATGAGTTTGGTTGCCCGACATCTCTCCCTAGGAAGTCGTGGTAGCCACGGTGATTGTTTAATGTCCGCAAAGAATCACCGACGCCAGCTCCAACTTCGGCGCCAACGACGTGCAAACATCTTACTGACGTGCGTCGCTCTCGCATTTGTGCTTTCCTGGTTACCACTGAACGTGGTTAATATCTTGATGGATTACAGGGAGGCCAAGGTTAATCAAGTAACCCCTCTCCCTCCATTGCCATTCTTACTACCAAAGTGGCAGAAAAGTGAACTGACATTGCAAAGTGCAGGCGAAAATGTTACGAGGCTGAATCCCGCAAAAGAGAGCGACAACGAGATGGCTGGTGCTGGGACGTCAGATTCCGGTCAACAAGGCGACTACTCCTCCCATCTCAGCGTTAGATTCATAACGCTGATTCAGTCCTTCTGCCTGCTCTGTGTCCTATTCTCCTGCTGTATGAACCCCTTTCTTTACGGCTATCTGAATGACGATTTCAGGGCTGAATTCATGGAGATACTGTGCTGTAGGTCTCCTAAACACGAAGCTTCTTCGTCCATCGGACGATGATCGTTACATACGCTAAACTGCTGTTCGAAGAAAGAGGCTCTATTTTGTATTTAAAAAATAAATTTTTGCTATGAGAACAGTTGATGATAATAGGCCTCCTCACTTAGTTCTTCAGGGGTTCACGTTGGAATTTCAATCATACAGCTTAGGTTGAGTTATAATCTAGTTTTCTCAAATGGGACCAGCGTTCGTGATTGGTTCATGCCGCAGCTAAATCAAGAAAGTCATATATTTGCAATTCTTATTTGAAAATACACCTTTTGCCTTATTAAGCAAAATGTGACTGAATTGTATGTTATTGTCTCAGCCGAAGCCAAACAACTCTCCTTCAACCCTTAAATACGGAAAGAAACGACAATAGAGTATTTGAAGGGGGTTTTCAGGGTCAAACTATGGACGGTTAATTTGTCCTTACTTCCATCCACTTTGTAGATACATTTGAAAACCCGTTGCTTTGCCCCTCAATAGCTATCTTTTGTCGCTCTATTTAAATTATTAAAATAAAATCCCTTGAGTAACCGCCTCGCAAAGGGTGGTATTTTTACTATCTTCAGCAAAACCAACCAGCTTTCGCCGAAATGACCCCAAAATCTGATATTTAGTATTCGACTTCTATTAAAGATTCCCTATTATGAGGTCTCTTTCAAGTCTTTTATAATCACTCCCCTAAGTTTTAAAAACAGTTAAAGACTTTTGAAATGAAGTCGCCAGCATGATCTATTTAAGTAGACCGTTTGACAAAAAGATAACTTTTTAGTCTCCAATTCTAATTAAATTAGTCGAACAGACACGCGGAAGACAAGACCCGACTGAGGACAGTGTAGTGACTTCAAATGGAGCAATACAGTATGTCAAAAGTACGCACCATTCATGAAGTTTGACATAGACGAGGGTCTCTGATGAGATAAAGCCGGTGTCCATTAAGAGATTACACAAATCCCAGCCGCCAAAACTAGTCAAATTCCTAATTAGATCATTAAAGTTTTCGGAATGCGGCACATACAAAAGTGCTTAACTGGTATGTAAAAGGTCGTGTAGGACGTTTAATTGTGATAGTTATCCTCATGCTGCGGGGCACAGGCGGTCGCGAGGGTCAAAATGATTAATACTTAAGTCAGCGGCTTGGGACTATCGATGTAGATGAACTTTTAAACGCCTACACAGTTGACTAGAGAAGTGCAACACTAAATACGACCATCGGAGGTTTCTTTCCTGTTATCAGCTTGTTGACGCTTTGATATGCCGTTCAATGGTTTACTACCTATTAAAACTGTCAAAGTGGAAGAATGTCCAGTAAGTCAATCTTTAACACACACACACGCACAATTCAGGCTGATTTGGAATACCTTTGTCTTATTTATGCAGAATATACATAGACGGCATACTTAACGACAGTGGTGAGGCGAAGGCTTTTAGGCTTCGTGAGAATGTATGGTTGACGAGCTAATTGAAATAATTAAGAGTTCTGCAAATCATCATTAGAATCAAGTATTTCAACGCGTGGTTTTATTGAATAATATAAGCGATAAACGTTGTCGTATAAGTAAAGAATATGATGTCTACTTTGTGTTGGTTTTTCCGGATCCGAAGCATGAATGTCAGAACGTCAGTATTTACAAAGCCTGATAAAGCATATTTTTCCCTAGGTTCGTCTAAATTCCAATTGAGCTTGCAAACAGAAGACAGATACAAGTAATTAACTCATCGACAGGGCTTATTGCCAATGCATCCCATACTTTTTCTATGTAAAATAATTTTGCACAGTGCCACAGAACCCGATTGTCTGGTTTTGTAATGAAACAACCGCGCCTACGATAATTCAGCTATTCCGAGACAGCTTGACATCCTAGAGAGTGAATTTGGTTGTCTAATTCCAAAGCATGAAAATACAGCCATTTTATTTGTTAAAAACTGCTTCAATTTGTAGTATACTTCGAAGTTTACGGAAAACTGAGTGCTGAAGTTACTATTTCGGCTTTAACCTATAATTTAATTTTTGGTGCAGGTGTTGACCGTAATCCTCAGCTAGTTCATTCTCAGTAAAAGATCGCCCTTCTGTTGAGCTTCATTTTAGCCTGCTGTGTTAAGTATGCTTGGGAAAACGTTATTTTATGTTTTTCTACTTTCCATAGATTTTTGGCTGTATAGATAACAAACCTGCTGTTGCAATTCATTTAATTTTTGAGGCAGGATTTTATCGTTTAGTCGTTTAAAATCAACTTGTCACTGGAGATGTTGGTTGATAAAATCAGGTGAGCACAAGAAATGCAAAATCAGTGACACGGAGATGGTTCAAATTCCCACACAGCCCCCGAAGTTACTGTGTGCGTTTCTACGTTTATGTAAAACTGTTAAACAATCACAGCAGAATAGGTAATGACCGTTAATTCACCACCACTTTTGATCATTGGTTTGGAACTTATTCGAAAATAAAATCTCATATTTTTCAAATTCTGAAATTTTGCCTTCTTGTATATAATGCCCAATTACATACTGAAGTATCGCGTTCATCATCTCCCGAAGAAGACGAAAAAGAAGAGAGGGCGAATCCATGGACCATATTGTATTCGAACTGACGTTTCGGAAACTTCCTCATTTCCATCATCAGAATAGCGTAGTTGCTGCACTTGCCAATCTTGAGTTGTTCAGTCTTGCCGCTTGCCTTGTATTATAGCCGTGCTGGACCTGCCTGTTTACCGCTGACTGGCTTAGACCTCCCAGGGGCTGACCGCTGACAGGCCTGCGTGACCTTTGGGGTCGGCGTAATTGTGGTCAAATCAACGTGCCGCTTGGCCTCTCACGCGTCAGCCGGTGGACTGATCGGTTGTTGCTGTTCAGTTGAGCAGCATTCAGCTTCGCGGGCGCGTCGGTGAGGCAGTGTTCGGCTTTGGTCACATGACCTCTGGCCCCCAATTCCGCTCTTTTCCGTGAACGTTGACTCTCGGTCCCGCGTGCTCGCTTGCCTTACTGGTCCTGTCCGGACTGATCCGAGCCTTGTACGCAGCGCCTGATAGGCGGGATGTAGATCTATAGCTCGGTTGAGTGTACCAGCCGAGGACCAACTTTCGAGCACCAGTCTGGCCATCTTCTCATTGACTCGACCAATAACCCTCGCTTTCTCAAAGGCAAAATTGTGGTTCAGTTCTCGTATGTGGCCATAGACCAAAGACAGCTTGTCCTTGCGATTGATTGCAAGTTGGTGTTCGTGCAATCTTGTACCGAGGCGTTTGCCCGTTTCACCAACATACCTCGCATTGCAATTTAGGCATGGTATGCTGTAGACCACTGCCGACTGTTCTGTTGTTGGTAGCGGGTCTTTGGGCTTCATGATTTGCTGTCTGATGGTGCATTCTGGTTTATGAGCCACGCCAATCCCAAAAGGTTTCAGGATTCTTGCCGTTAGCTCTGATACGTTCTTCACATAGGGTATTGAGAGCCAGAACTTGGGCTTTTCTCCACTCGACCGTTCAAAATGAGGCTTTTTGAGGCAATTGCGTATGAAGGACTTCGGGTAGCCGTTGGCTTTAAAAAGGGCGTGCAAGTAATTCATCTCCGCCTTCCCCCCACTGTCGTCGCTACAGTGTGTTTGAACGCGTTGAAAGAGAGTTCTGACACAACTGCGTTTATGACCAACAGGGTGGTTGCTTTGGAAGTGGAGGATGCGCCTGGTATTTGTTGCTTTACGGTAAACCGTTGTCCTTATCTTCCGTCTGTCAATCTCATGACTTGTACGTCCAGGAAGGGCAACTGATTGTTGACTTCCTCTTCCATAGTAAACTGAATGTCGGGAAAGATGGAGTTCAACAATGCCTTGAAAGCCTTCACCTCGCTCCTCTTGATTACAACGAACGTGTCGTCGACGTATCTGGCCCAGAACTTCGGGGGGTACGAGCTAAAGACCTGCTGCTCGAGTCTCTGCAAAACTGCTTCGACAATTAGTCCAGACAGAGGCGAGCCCATCGGTGTCCCCTTCTTTTGCTCGTAGACTTGACCGTTGAATGTAAAGAAGGTCTTTAGACACAGTTCTAGGAGCTCGATGATGTGTGCCCGTTTGAGCTGTTGGTCGGTTTCATCATACTTTTCCCGGAGAAAGCCATCAATAGTGTCGATAGCCAGCGCGGGTGGGATGGAGGTGAATAATGAGATCACGTCAAATGACACCATCACCTCATCTGCCTCCACTTCGAGATGTTTGATGCGCGTCAAGAACTCCTCAGCCGACTTCACTGTCCACTTCGAATCCTTGGTAAGGAAACAAAGTCGTTGGTACAGCCACTTTGACAGCCCAAAGGTTGGAGTACCACGTAAGGAGACGATGGGGCGTAGAGGCACCCCCTGCTTGTGGACCTTTTGTAGGCCGTAGAAGCGCGCCATCGCGGTATCACTGGCTTTTGCGGCCAACGCCTCCCTTCTCGTAAGAGCTCCCGCCTTCCTCAGCTTGCCGATCGTATTGTTTATGCTGTTTACGAGCTTTTTAAACTCGCTGACGGTCGATGGCACATAAGCTTCCTTGTCCATTAAGAGGTTGCCTAGTTTTGTGCAGTACTCAGCCTTATCCATGACGACAGTCGAGCGCCCCTTGTCGGCGGACAGGGTGACGATATCCTTCATTTTTCGTATCTTCAGAAGTTCTCGATCTTCTGCTTTAGAAATCGTCATCTGGCGTTTGTGTTGGAGGAGTAAGGTCGACACTTGTTGTCGCATGGCGTTTTTGCACTCCTTGCCTGCCTCACACTTCTGGAGCGCCGATTCAAAGGATGCAATAAAGTCTTCTGGTAGAGCATCTCTTGTATTGAACTTCGCGTCATAGGATAGAACCGCTAGTTGTTGCTGAGTAAAACGATGAGAGGACAAGTTGTGAACCAAGGCACCGTCAGTAAAGAGCTGCTTTGGCGGACTTATTTTCTCACATTTTCCAGACAACTGGTCATCACGCAACTTGCGGTGACGCCGTGCGCTGTCGAGAATTGCCACTGAAGTATGAATCTATAATATTTTTA